CAGGCCACACTTCTAACTGAGCTCGCTGGCCATCTACGCAGGCAATGATGGTACTTGAAGACAGCCGAAGTAAGAATCCAGAAATATAGATGAGAGCTTTCCAGCAAGAGCATTTCATAGAACTTCTGTTTGAATCAAACACATATCTTAACAGGAGGAAGTCCTATTTAGCATGTGCAAGATATCTTCATACATCTTCATGAAGTTCTAGTTTTTCAATTTGGAAATGTATGTATGAAAATTTTCTGTAACGTTTGGTTCATTGTGGTCATCATTGTCACTACAGTGTATCATTACTAAATTTTTTTTTAACCCTACCATATGTTTCAAGATGAGAGCTTCTAAGATTGAGAAGATATAAAAGATGTCTTATTCAATGTCATCTAGATTTATAGAGTGCTAACTTTAGTGGTGCTTAAAATTGTTATACCTTAATGCTCAACAAATTTGGACATTTTAATTTCTAATATGTTCTAATTTCACTTTTTTTGTATTATGCTGAATGACTTTATAAATATTTAAGGCAATCTTATAGATAATATTGAAGGACCCATAAACTTAACTTTTGAAAGTCCTCATTTTATGAAGAAACTTCATTTTACAATAAAGTTTTATCCTAATACTTTCAATGGTTAATACTAAAAAAAAAAAAAAAAGGAAAAAAACATTGTATGCATGATCCTTCATGCTATAGATGATTTTACATAATTAAAATTTTTTAAATATAGGTATGTAAATAGGTAGGTAGATTTTTTAAAAATCATCTAGTGCCTCCCCTTCTTTTAAATTTTATACCACTGAGTGACAGCATCCATTTCTCATTAGGTGAAATACATGTTCTTATTTTGTCAATACAGGCACTTTCTGCTTTAAGGAGCCTCCAATTTAAAAAACAGAACTAAGAGTGGATATTTTCTTTATAAAGGTTTGTCAATGCAAAAGAATTTGTCAAATAATTGCCTTAATGAAGTAAGTCCTCCTAATAAATTTTTTATTTCACAAAATTTTGTAAGATATTGAGGTTATAGAAACTCAATGACTGTATTCAGCAAAGAATACCAGTATAATTATACTTGTTCTTTATTATTATTTGTTACACAAGTAAATCTATTTGTAATCACATTGTTTGTTTTTGGCAACAAAATTTAAATTTTAAATTTTTATATGATTATGCACTAAGACCAAAAAGTATAAAGCATGATAATGTTGTTTTCCCTTTTTAGCATCTCTGGAATGTGATTTTTTTTGACACATGATTCATAATTAATTCTGAGAAAGCCTAAAAAGTTCTTTGCAAGTAATATCCCAAACTAGAATGCTTAAGAAAAATATTTTTTGTTTTGTTTTGTTTTTTGTGAATCAGTCTCACTCTGTTGCCTAAACTGGAGTGCAGTGGCACACTCATGGCCACTGCAGGTCGAGGCAATCCTTGTGCCTCAACCTTCTGGGTAGTTGGAACTATAGGCGTGTGCCACCACGCCCAGCTAATTTTTTTTTTCTTAAATTGTAGAGACGAGATCTTGCCAAGTTGCTCGGGTTGGTCTCGAACCCCTGGGCTCAAGTAGCCTCTCGCCTCAGCCTCCCAAAATGTTGCACTCAGCTTGCAGTTGTGTCTTACAGATAATTCTGATGATACTTTGAGTCGTCATCTTGCTGGAGTGCAATGGCATGATCGTGGCTCACTGCAGCCTCAACCTCCTGGGTTCAGCAGTCCTTCTATCTCAGCCTCCTAAGTAGCTGGCTGCAGGTGAGTACTACCATGCCTGATTAATATTTTGATTTTTTGTACAAAGTTTCACTATGCTGCCCACACTGGTCTCAAATTCCTGGGCTCGAGCAATCTACCCTTAGCCTCTCATGATGGTATTTTTAAAATGAGTATAAATCAAATAGAAATAATCAAACATATAATTCAAATTTGAGTTTCAACAAGAGTAAGATGATAATACATGTAATGTAATTAGAATGGACGTACATTTATCAGCTATAATCTCTTTTAAACTAATGAAGTTCATCAAATTTTCTGTGAGAATTAATGGAGTAAAATATTACAGAGCTTCCTATAAATCTGTTGTTCTACCATTGTAAATTGTTATTCCATTTTGAGAATTATTTATATTAATAATGTTTTAAAAAGATGTGAAGATTCTCTATAACATTTTATTCATTGTGGTCATCAATTGCCAGCATAATTACAAAAATATTTGAGAATATTTTTTATTTGAAAACTACATAGTTTGAGGTGACTTGGCAGATATTTTGTTTAATATCTTCTGTAATTAGAGTACCAACTTCAGAGGTGCTTACAATTGTTATATCTTAAAATTCTACAAGCTTGGATATTTTACTTTCTGACAGGTACTAATTCCATATTAAGCTACTTTTGGACCATGAATTTATAAGCAGCATTTGAAGCAACCTTACAGAAAATATTTAATCTACTTAAAAAATTACAAATGCTGTACTATAATATTTTCATATGCCCAATACATTTGGAAAAGAAATCCACAAATATATAATTAACAACTATGCATAATTAAATATTAAGCAGTATATATTAACAATGCTAGAATCTTTAATAAACAAAACAAAGATCAATAGTTTTACTAATTTCCACAAATTAATAGTTTTTTCCCTTCAAATCAACCAATTTTACTGAGGAAAAATCCATTTTTATATTACTGTTAACTAATAATTATACTTTTACTTATTTACTGTTTCACAAGTTTACAGATTGCTTCCCATGCATAATAAATAAACTTTCAGCCAATTATATCTTGGTATAGATAACAATGAAAAGTCAAACCCTTAAAAATACATAAGCTATAGCAAACTCATTCTACAAAAATTCATAGATTCAAAAAGACATTTTAAATATCAGATGTCTGTATTGCATCTTACAATAATTATAAATGTTCCATAAAATTTGATTTCACATAAATTTTTAAGAAGTTAGCATTTGTATTTTCCTTGAATAGACACAATCACATATGTTTCTGTAGAATCAATTTCAAAAATGTGAGGTTGACTATGGTATTATTTTAGAGGACCGCCCAGTGGACTTGGAACATCCCATGCAATGTCAGGGAAACCTCATAAGCTAGAGAACAATGATATTACACTACTAGTCACCTGTGCTGAGATATGTGCAATTATATGAGGAAAGCTCAACCCTTCAACTATCTCTCATTATTAAACTTGCCCAGACCACAGTCTGAAATACCTGCATAAAAAAAAATCAAAGAGGACCAGTTACGAATTGTCCATCATTAGGTAGTCTCCAAAACTCAATCCTCTGGTCTTCAGCTTCGGAGACTAGAAACATCAGACAGAGCAGCTGAGATCTAGGACACTGAATGGACATCTGAGTCTCCTTAAAGAGTCACTTGATCTCATTTACCCTTTCACTCTTACTGAACAAAGCAAGGAACAATTTACAGGCACCGTCAGGAGCACAATCACAGAAGAGCCCATACCTCCGTGAGCAGACTTACAATGACCACACTGCCTGCTGAGCTTACATCTAATTGTCCTTTAGGACTAACCAGGAGAGTCAGCTTCTCTAGGACACATTTCCTGATCATTGCCCTTCACCTTCACCTCTACAATAGGTGTTACCCCTATATACAACTGAGTGCTTAATCCAATTAGCACAGGTAGTGAACGCCATCACAGTGATGTATTTACCTTTGTATCTTGAGTACTAGAATGCAAAATTCCTGCAAACAGAGACCACAATTATTTTAGTTTACTTTCCCAGGACCAAGCCCAGTTATTAGCACACAGTAAATGCTCAATAAATGTTTGTGAATGGATGTTGAATGAAGGTACCACTGCCACACCTGGTACATCTGCCACATTGATGATGTGGAGGTAAGAACAGAATTAATTGTTCAAAAACAAAGAGACTGAAACCATGTAGTGAAAATGCCACGACTCAGTCTCCTAATAGCTAAAATGAATGCAATTTTTACATCATCAGAAAACATCTTGGAATCTGCTGTCATCGAGTAAATAACACCTTTATAGGTCTGTGCATGGAGATATATATCATGTATTTATAATGATAGCATTTTACTGCTATAAACACTGAAAACCAAGGAATCTCATTTTTAAAAAATTAGAAAATGACTGTATTTCCTGAGATTCCATATCCTATGCATAAAATCTGTCTAAAGTTTTCAAATAATTACACTATTTATTCCATTTCTAATTAAAATACAATAGCATATTGTTACAGATTATTTGAAAATTATACTAATAGAATAATTGATATCACTGAATTGAAAACTCATTGTTTTTTATATCGATTACTCTTTCTGAAATAAAATTTCATTTCCTTATTTTGGAAAAATAATTTTCCTAAAAGAAGTGTAATTTTAAAAAATTATCTGAATAGATTTCTGATGAAGCAAAAACTATACATTTACTTAATTAAAAAATATTTTAAAATATTCTACACGAACAACAATAATATAATTTTCATGAAAGTAACAGACCTGAAAAAAGTTTGAAGTCTCTTCAAAGTTTCCTGTCATTTATGGAAAACATATAACATTAATTTACTATCTGCCCCTTTAAACTTTATTCTATTTTTCTAAATCATCCTTGAAACAACAGGGAGACATTTTAGGATGAGGGCTGAAATGTGTACTTTGGGTATATTTTATAGACAATAGATGTGAACAAGGCAATTATAATCAGAGAATAAAGCAGACAGACTTGAATTTTTATCACAGTTGCACACAGAATAAAGCTTGATTAGTTGGAAAGCAAAGTCCTGCATACACAAAGCACAAAATACAGTCTAAGAAATATTTCACATGCTTTGGTTATTTCAACTTAGCTCTTACATGCAACTTAATGAAAGTCTAATGTAAATAAAGTATGTGCTAAACGGTTTCTTTTCCCTAAGACAAAACTATTCAAACCTCTTAGTCACTACACATTTTTACAATGCCAGAGGAAAAAAATGAGAAATTATTAATTTTTAAAATTACCCAGCAATTCCATTGCATCATCTTCATTATCAATATCTTCTTCTGTTACAGATGGAGTAGGACTGTGGATCGACTCAAAAGAGTCTTGAGAGAGCATTGCTGCCAAGAGTTTCTTATGTTGCTGTTGCTGCTGTTTTAATCCCTTAGTCTTAGGCTCCATCTTTAAGCTGAGGGAATATTTAAATCTTAATTAGCTGTGATAAGTAAACACAATCATCTGCAAACAAATTTTCATTCAGTTATCTGTCATATGAATTTACGGACATATTACTAAAGTTTTCCTCAAGAATAATGAAAATACAGTCTTTCTCAAACACAACAAATGCCCATGGGTATCGGGGAGCTGAAATCTCCTGCCCCATTTAAGAGAGGAGGTGCTAATACTTCTACAAATGGTTGCCATGTGGGAGTTAAAATCCTCTGTTAATGGAGTTGCTGCTTTTTAAAGAGGAGGCAGAATGTCCAGATTCTTAGCCCCTTATTTACAAAGCAAATGTATGTCCAACAAAACACATGTTTTGGGATCAATATTTTGATATACTACATGAAGATTTTTTTAAATACCCAGTTTTAATTTCTTTTGCATGTGTGTACATAGTGGTCCCAGCACCATTTGTTGGAAAGACTGTTTTCTCTCCCATTTAATTGTCTTGTTTTAATTTATGATGTTTTGAATCTATCTCTTTGTATGGTTTTCTTTTCTTTTCTTTTTTTTTTTTTTTTTTTTTGAGTTGGAGTCTCACTCTGTCACCCAGACTGGAGTGCAGTGGCCACTCCCGGCCACTGCAGCCTCAACCTACTGGGCTCCGCTGATCCTTCTGCCTCAGCCTTCCTAGTAGCCGGAATTACAGGCATGCGCTACCACGCCCGGCTGATTTTTTTTAAATTTATTTTAGAGATGAGGTCTCGCTGCCCAGGCGGGTCTCGAACCCACGGGCTCAGGCAATCCACTCACCTCAGCCTCCCAAAGGCGTGGGATTACAGGCTGAGCCACCGAGCCCAGCTTGTATGGTTTTCTTAATGACTGCTGTTTGTGTTACTATACACAGTAGATTGTTTTACTAAAATCCGTTGATCATTTGTGGTGAAGCGTATACATATTACTTTCATTTTAGTCCCTTTATCTTCCTTATTTCTAAATATTATCACTTTGAATATCAAATGGCATTATAATATTTGTTTTGTTTTTTGTTTGTTTTTATATTCAAGATATAATCTGTAGGTTGTATCTTACATCAAATTAGGGATGTTTTCCACTTTTCAAGATGTGGGGTGCAATTTAGTGTTAGGTATACAAATGGTCATTGTTCAGGTAAAGTTTGGGCCTCACTTTGGTCCTCACTTCACCTGGTTAGAGATCCAGTACCTACCCTTATTGTTTTCAACTATTATTTCTTCTAATTCTTATTCAATCCACTCACTTTCGCTCTCTTTCTTGGATTCAAATGGTAAGAATGTCAGATCTTTTGTTATTCTCCCATAGGTCAATGAGGTTGCATTTTTCCTGGTACTTCGCATGATTATTTTCTTTTATTGTATCCTATATAATTTGGCTACTATTTGAGGAGTTTCTGGATTCTATTTAAGTATTTTGTATTAGAAGGCAGCCACTTATATCTCCTAACCTACTTTTGTAGCCTGTGGCACCCATGGCAATTTAATTTTCAGAGCTCTTGCAATGCTGTTCTGTTCTTGGTTTACCTGGTGTTGCTGTGGCTTCCACTGGTCCCAGCTAGTGTCGGCTAATGGAGCAGAAAGAGCAACCCCAGGATGGGCATCTGGTACCTCTAGTGAAGGGATGGTCTGACTGTGGGGACAAAAAGGCTTCTCATGCTATGCTTTGTTTGGGGAGCTCCCTCTTACTGATGCTTTCTTTGTCCAGGAAAAGGTGCTAAAGTGCCTGGTATCTTTCAGTTGGACAGAGGAATCTCAGGCCTATGTGGACAGATTTCCAGGAAAGGCCACTTTTTTTTTTTCAGCAGTAGCGAGACTTTAATGATGGTTTTGCAAGATCAGGTGTCTGGTGGGCAGGCACACCAAAGCAGGGAGCACAAGGCCAACTGCCACACTGTCTTCAGTGGGGAAAAGGAGTCTCGAGTCTGGCAGGGAAGGACAGAGTGCCGCCTGACCATTTACTGTCAGTAGGGTTTCTGGTCCATTTCCTTAGCCTGTATCTCTAGGTTTTCCTGGTGTTGTTGGTGAGGTTCCTGTTTAATTAGGGGGAGAAATGAACCTACCTGGGTCACCTTTTCTTGCTAGTTTGGAGGTTGGGAAATGCCAGACCTAGGCTGCCTTATTCTGTTGCTTTATTCTGTTGGATTGTAAGGCACACTGCTGCCATGTTGTTCCTATCGTCTCTAACCATTCCCCTTTCCTCTTTACACTTGTCATAGTTCCCTTTTGATTGCTTCTTGCTTTATTTCAGGGTTTATAATTGTATTTATGGGGTGGGAGAAGGGCAGAGAGAAATGGGTCTGCACCAACTTTTCCAAAACAGAAGGGACAGATGATTTATTAATTACAAAGGGGAAATGATACCTTTACTCTAGGGATATCTGATGTATTTAGCACCATCAATAATGTTGGACAAACTGACATCATATAACTCCTGATATAATGCAGTGAGGACATACATCACATCAACTATGTATAATTCTTGCCAAAAAAATGTTTAAGTTGAATTTAATCAGAAAACAATCAGATAAATGCAAATTTGGGGAACATGTTTCAAGATAACTGGCCTATAGTCTTCAAGAATGTCAATGTCATTAAAAAAAAAGAGTACTGTTCTAAATTATGTAAGTCTCAGAAGGCTTATTACTAAATTCCACATTTCATTATTGGATGCTAGATAACGAAGCAAACAAATATACAAAAATTTACAGAAAAGCTTACTGGGAAAATTGAAGAAAGTTGAAAGTGGACTAAATTGAAGAAATTTGAAAATGGACTCTACATTTAAAAACTTTATGGTACCATTGTTAAATGTTTTGGTATAATAATTATACATTGGAGGCCAGACGCAGTGACTTACACCTGTAATCCCAGCACTTTGGTAGGCAGAGGCGAGAGGATTACCTGAGCCCAACGTTCGAGACCTGTCTGGGCAACATGGCAAGAGCTTGTCTCTACAGTAAATACACACATAAAAAAAAGCCAGGCATGGTGGCAAGTGCCTGTAGTTCCAGTTACTTGGAAGGCTGAGGTGGAAGGATTGCCTAAGCCCAGCAGGTTGAGGTTACGGTGGCCATGAGTGTGCCACCACACTCCAGTTCAGGCAACAGAGTGAGACTCCAACTCAAAATAATAATAATTATGATTGTATTTTGGTTACATAAGAAAATATCTTTATTCTTAGAAATGAATGCTGAAGAATTGAGGAATTAACATTTTATAATATATATAGTTTATTTTCAGATAATTCAACACAAAAATAGAATATGCTAGATAGATTATAGAAACATAGGTATATAGACAGATACATGATTGGTTGATAGGTGAATAGATAATATGGCACAGATGAAAGAAAGACGGACAAATGTTCATTGGTGAATATAGGTGGATCTCGATAGCAATACTCTTAAATTTTCTGTAGTTTGAAATTTTTTGAAGCAAAATCTTGAAGAAAAAAATAAGAAAAAATATATCAAAGCATACCCTTGTTAAAATGATCTATTTCAATTTTATCTTCTATCCTAACTTAAGACCTCAACATAAGCAGGATTGTTGCTGAGATATTGTATAAATGCAACTCTTTAATTTTTGTTATTTTACTAACTATTGGTGTATTTCTAAATAATTAAAGATAATTATTTTACTGTATAATGGTAGAGATGAAATCTAAATATTCATTTGTAAATTGATGGAAGAAGTTTATTTAACCTCAGTTTCTTGCCATGAAATCAGTTTCCTGCATTATTTCATTGTATGTCTTTTATTTATTTATTTTGTTTATTTATTTTTTTTGAGTTGGAGTCTCACTCTGTCGCCCAGACTGGAGTGCAGTGGCCGCTCCCGGCCACCACAGCCTCAACCTGCTGGGTTCCTGCGATCCTTCCGCCTCAGCCTTCCAAGTAGCCAGAATTACAGGCATGCGCTACCACGCTCGGCCAATTTTTTTTTTGATTTACTGTAGAGATGAGGTCTCGCCTGCCCAGGCGGGTATCAAACCCACGGGATCAGGCAATCCACTCACCTCAGCCTCCCAAAGTGCTGGGATTACAGGCTGAGCCACCGAGCCCGGCTTGTATGTCTTTTAAATTGTGAAATAATGTAACAATTTTAAAGCCTTCTTTGAGCAACTTTATTCATTGAGAAGTAAATAAAACAAAACAAATCAAAACACAATTTTAATCTGGATTTCTTGGCTGATAGACCTAACATGCTAAACTGGATTTAACAGCTACATTATTTTATTTGTCAAATCATTTAAAAATAATGATATTCATGATTTACTTTAGTACTATTAGTTCTTGATTAGTAGAAGGGATATACATATTGCTTTTAATGACAAATGAACATAGTCTATTTACAAGATGAATAACTTTGGGCAAGTTACTTACCCTTCCTTTTCCCTGGTTTCTTTATCTGTAATACCAAGTATAGTAGTGCCTCTTATATACCATGTTTTGACAATTAAAAGGGCTGATAACTGTAGAATAGCACCTGTTAAATGGCTCTATTTATGGGACTACTGAGTAAATCTATTAGCTACATTTTCTTTCACAGCTTTATATTTTATGTTATAAATTTAACAAAAAGTATCAAAATATTATACTTTATAATATTCTATACTTAATAAAATATACTTAATATTTTTATGTAAAATGGCAGTTTCAGTTTGAAGGCAACTTTCCTTCTTAACAAATATTGATTCTCAAAGGATCACTGTTTGAAGCAGATGTTTTACGTACTCTCTGACAATGGCTTTTGCCTACTTACTATGTATCTAAATAGTAAGGATGGCCACCTGCAAAGGAGCCAGTGGTATTCATCTGTTTATAATAAAGGAGGGGGGGAGAAAAAAATCCCTAAATGACCAACAGTGAGGGATTGAATACATGACTTATAGACCATTAATGTAACAGTCTACTATAGTGCTATTTTAAAACGGATATTGAAGGCTAAACAGGGGAAGGGTGGGAAGAAGGAAAAGGATAAAAAATCA